CTAAGTCATGTCCAACTCTTATCAACCTCATGGACTGCAGCACGCCAGGCTTCCCTGTCCTTCACTGTCTCCCTGAGTTTGCTCCAGACTCATGTCCATCGAGTCAGTCATTCCATCCAACCATCTCATCCTCTGTTACTCCCTTCTCTTCCTGCCCTCAATCCTTCCCAGCATCAGGGTCTTTTCCAATGAATCAGCTCTTTGCTTCAGGTGGCCAAAGTATTGGAGCTTCAGTTTCAGCACCGCCAATGAATATTCAGGTTTGATTTCCTTTAGGATTGACTACTTTGATCTCCTTGCTGTCCAAGGGACTCTCAAGGCTTCCTAGAGGGGTTGGTATTTGAGTGGGGTTAAATTCTGGATAAGCAGAGATGGGAGTAGTAGTCATGCCAAGGGAGGAAGAAGAGAAACAGGAAAAACAACATGGATGGAGAAAGAGGCCCATCAGAGTAGAGAAGATGAGAGGATGAGATGAGGAGATGGAAAGGAAAGCAAGTCAACACAGCAAAGGGTGTCAAAGAAGCAGAGAGATTTTCAAATCTGTTGTTATTGCACCAAGAGTTGGAGCCATAGATGGCACAATTTATTTATTATTTCAACAAATATTTCTTAGACTTCCCTGGTGGTCCAGTGGCTAAGATTCTGTGCTCCCAATACAGGGGGCTGGGTGTGATCCCTGGTCATAGAACTAGATCCCACATGCCACAGCTAAAGATCCCAGACTCTGCAGCAAAGATTGAAGATCCCTTGTGCTCAAACTACCGCACAATTGCACTCATCTCACACGCTAGTAAGGTAATGCTCAAAATTCTCCAAACCAGGCTTCAGCAACACATAAACCGAGAACTTCCAGATGCTCAAGCTGGTTTTAGAAAAGGCAGAGGGACCAGAGATCAAATTACCAATATCCGCTGGATCATCAAAAAGCAAGAGAGTTCCAGAAAAACATCTATTTCTGCTTTATTGACTATGCCAAAGCTTTCAACTGTGTGGATTACAATAAACTGTGGAAAATTCTGAAGGAGATGGGAATACCAGACCACCTGACCTGCCTCTTGAGAAACCTGTATGCAGGCCAGGAAGCAACAGTTAGAACTGGACATGGAACAACAGACTGGTTCCAAATAGGAAAAGGAGTACGTCAAGGCTGTATATTGTCACCCTGCTTATTTAACTTATATGCAGAGTACATCATGAGAAACGCTGGGCTGGAAGAAGCACAAGCTGGAATCAAGATTGCCAGGAGAAATATCAATAACCTCAGATATGCAGATGACACCACCCTTATAGCAGAAAGTGAAGAGGAACTAAAAACCTCTTGATGAAAGTGAAAGAGGAGAGTGAAAAAGTTGGCTTAAAGCTTAACATTCAGAAAACTAAGATCATGGAATCTGATCCCATCACCTCATGGGAAATAGATGGAGAGACAGTGGAAACAGTGTTAGACTTTACTTTTCTGGACTCCAAAATCACTGCAGATGGTGACTGCAGCCATGAAATTAAAAGATGCTTACTCCTTGGTACATACCTCAACATAATAAAAGCTATATATGACAAACCCACAGCAAGCATTACCCTCAATGGGGAAAAATTGAAAGCATTTCCCCTAAAATCAGGAACAAGACAAGGGTGCCCACTCTCACCACTCCTATTCAACATAGTTTTGGAAGTGTTGGCCACAGCAATCAGGGCAGAAAAAGAAGTAAAAGGAATCCAGATAGGAAAAGAAGAAGTGAAACTCTCGCTGTTTGCAGATGACATGATCCTCTACATAGAAAACCCTAAAGACTCTACCAGAAAATTACTAGAGCTAATCAACGAATACAGTAAAGTTGCAGGATATAAAATTAACACACAGAAATCTCTTGCATTCCTATACACTAACAATGAGAAAACAGAAAGAGAAATTAAGAAAACAATACCATTCACCATTGCAACAAAAAGAATAAAATACTTAGGAGTATATCTACCTAAAGAAACAAAAGACTTATACATAGAAAACTATAAATCACTGATGAAAGAAATCAAAGAGGACACAAACAGATGGAGAAATATACCGTGCTCATGGATTGGAAGAATCAATATTGTCAAAATGGCTATACTACCCAAAGCAATCTATAGATTCAATGCAATCCCTATCAAGCTACCAACAGTATTTTTCACAGAACTAGAACAAATAATTTCACAATTTGTATGGAAATACAAAAAACCTCGAATAGCCAAAGTAATCTTGAGAAAGAAGAATGGAACTGGAGGAATCAACCTGCCTGACTTCAGACTATACTACAAAGCCACAGTCATCAAGACAGTATGGTATGGCACAAAGACAGAAATATAGATCAATGGAACAGAATAGAAAGCCCAGAGATAAATCCACGAACCTATGGTCACCTTATCTTCGACAAAGGAGGCAAGGATATACAATGGAAAAAAGACAACTTCTTTAACAAGTGGTGCTGGGAAAACTGGTCAACCACCTGTAAAAGAATGAAACTAGAACACTTTCTAACACCATACACAAAAATAAACTCAAAATGGATTAAAGATCTAAATGTAAGACCAGAAACTATAAAACTGCTAGAGGAGAACATAGGCAAAACACTCTCCGACATAAATCACAGCAGGATCCTCTATGACCCACATCCCAGAATTTTAGAAATAAAAGCAAAAATAAACAAATGGGACCTAATGAAACTTAAAAGCTTTTGCACAACAAAGGAAACTATAAGCAAGGTGAAAAGACAGCCCTCAGATTGGGAGAAAATAATAGCAAACGAAGCAACGGACAAAGGATTAATCTCAAAAATATACAAGCAACTCCTCCAGCTCAACTCCAGAAAAATAAATGACCCAGTCAAAAAATGCGCCAAAGAACTGAACAGACATTTGTCCAAGGAAGACATACAGATGGCTAACAAACACATGCAAAGATGCTCAACATCACTCATTATCAGAGAAATGCAAATCAAAACCACAATGAGGTACCATTACACACCAGTCAGGATGGCTGCTATCCAAAAGTCTACAAGCAATAAATGCTGGAGAGGGTGTGGAGAAAAGGGAACCCTCTTACACTGTTGGTGGGAATGCAAATTAGTAAAGCCACTATGGAAAACAGTGTGGAGATTTCTTAAAAAGCTGGAAATAGAACTGCCATATGACCCAGCAATCCCACTTCTGGGCATACACACCGAGGAAACCAGATCTGAAAGAGACACGTGCACCCCAATGTTCATCGCAGCACTGTTTATAATAGCCAGGACATGGAAGCAACCTAGATGCCCATCAGCAGACGAATGGATGAGGAAGCTGTGGTACATATACACCATGGAATATTACTCAGCCATTAAAAAGAATTCATTTGAATCAGTTCTAATGAGATGGATGAAACTGGAGCCCATTATCCAGAGTGAAGTAAGCCAGAAAGATAAAGACCATTCCAGTATACTAACACATATATATGGAATTTAGAAAGATGGTAACGATAACCCTATATGCAAAACAGAAAAAGAGACACAGATGTATAGAACAGACTTGTGGACTCTGTGGGAGAAGGCGAGGGTGGGATGTTTCAAGAGAACAGCATTGAAACATGTATATTATCGAGGCTGAAACAGATCACCAGCCCAGGTTGGATGCATGAGACAAGTGCTCGGACCTGGTGCACTGGGAAGACCCAGAGGGATTGGGTTGAGAGGGAGGTGGGAGGGGGGATCGGGATGTATATCCATGGCTGATTCATTTCAATGTATGACAAAAACCACTACAATGATGTAAAGTAATTAGCCTCCAACTAATAAAGAAAAAATAAAAAGAAAAAAAAAATAAAATAAAAGATGCTTACTCCTTGGAAGGAAAGTTATGACCAACCTAGATAGCATATTAAAAAGCAGAGACATTACTTTCCCAACAAGGGTCCGTCTAGTCAAGGCTATGGTTTTTCCAGTGGTCATGTATGGATGTGAGAGTTGGACTGTGAAGAAAGCTGAGCACCGAAAAATTGATGCTTTTGACCTATAGTGTTGGAGAAGACTCTTGAGAGTCCCATGGACTGCAAGGAGATCCAATTAGCCCATCCTAAAGGAGATAAGTCCTGGGTGTTCATTGGAAGGACTGATGCTGAAGCTGAAACTCCAATACTTTGGCCAGCTCATGCAAAGAGTTGACTCGTTGGAAAAGTCCCTGATGCTGGGAAGGATTGGGGGCAGGAGGAGATGGGGACAACAGAGGATGAGATGACTGGATGGCATCACCGACTCGATGGGCATGAGTTTGAGTAAACTCTGGGAATTTGTGATGGACAGGGAGGCCTGGCGTGCTGCGATTCATGGGGTCGCAAAGAGTCAGACACGACTGAGCGACTGAACTGAACTGAACTGAACTGTGCTACAATTAAGACCCAGCATACCAAATAAATAAAATAAATACTAAAAAACCACAAATACTTCTTGAGCACCTACAATGAGGCAGACACTAGGGATAAATGGGGTCCCTATTCACTAGTAACTTGCATTCTAGTGTGGGGAGTGGAGGAGGGAGGCAGACAGTCAACAAGTAAACACATTTTTTGAAAATGAATTTTCTGGTAAATACTGTGAAGGCAGTAAAATGGGATAGTGTGAATAGAATGTTTTGGAGGAAGGGTTACTTTAGGTGGGATGGGCCTCTATCTCCAAGGCAGGAGCCTCTCTGAGAAGATCCCGTCTGGGCTGAGACCTGAATGATGAGAAGTGGATAGCCATGTAAAGACCTAAGGGACTCTCCAGGTAGAGAGAACAGCAGATGCAAAGGCCCTGAAGCAGGAAAGAGCTTGACTTGTTGGAGGAAAGGCAAGGACAGTGTGGTTAGGGGGAAGTGAGCAGGAGGCAGGTGGTAGGAGGTAGACAGGGGCCAGGCATGCAGGCCTCCTGAGCCATGAAAAGGAGTGGCTTGGGGGTGTGGAATGGCATGTTTATGGTAGAAAAGTCAGAGCCATGTCTCTGCACCTTCTCTCCACATAGGCAAGAAAACGTCTTGACACCAAACAACAACAAAGGCCTGCCCATCCTGGACCCCAAGATCTCAGATGAGAAGCTGGGTGCCATCCGAGGGTTCTGGTTCAAGGCCATGGTGAGCTCCAGGACTGTGCCCATCATATTCACTTGGCAGGAAACAGAGGCCGAGTCTCAGGTGCCCAAGGTGTCCCAAGAAACGGTGAACGTCTCCCCATCCCGCCAGGGCTAGAAGGACCAGCCCCTGGGGAAGGGGCTTGCCTGCCGCCTGTGGGCTGTTCACTCCTCAGGTGGCCAGTAGAGCTTCCCTTTAAGCTCCTTCTGTATGTGAGTCACCCTAAATGGGTAAATTCTTCATGTTACCTAGTCTGTTTTCCTTCTGAATGGAGCTCCCATTTGCACTTCCCAGGTGGCAGAGTGGTAAAGAATCTGCCTGCAATGCAGGAGACCTGGGTTTGATCCCTGGATCAGGGAGATTTCCCTGGAGGAGGAAATAACAACCCACTCCAGTATACTTGCCTGGAAAATTCCATGGACAGAGGAGCCTGACGGGCTACAGTCCATGGGGTTGCAAAGAGTCAGACATGACTGAGCACACACACAACAGGGATTTCTTTCCAAACAAACCCCTGCAACACTTGTAAGACCGGGTTCCTTCCTCTGACTCAAGTTGCCATCCACTCAGAACTTCCTTGGGAGCTCGCCCTCTGAGTAATGGGAAGCCCCCAAGAGATCAGTTTGAATTTTTGAAAAAGGAAATCGGGGCTCAGGGAAAAGGAGACTCGGTCTTGGGTCACAGAGTCTCTGCCCTTAATCCCGGGAGTTGGTCTGGCTTCCTGTTGACCAGACGCTGGGAGAGGGATGGTGCAGGTGACTGAAAGAAATGATGCCTTCCTTGGATAAGGGCTCATGGCCCAGTCCCAGGCCCTTGAGGCAGAAAGCTCCAGACTGGCCGCTGGAGGGACAGCACAGTCCAGGGCCCCCACTAAAGTCCTGCCCCAGCCACCACGGGTGAATTCATACGTGGCTTTTTCCCTTCTCTGCCAGCGGATCCCATGGGGAACACTGCTCCAGAAGACACTGAGAAAAGCCCCGAGCCAAGGCCAGCGGCCCCTAGGGAAGCCCTGAGCCTCTTCTTCCCAGGACTTACCCCTCTCCACCAACAGCCTCCGCATCTTCCCCTGGCACTTCTGCACCTTCCTGGAACACGTCCCACCAGACCAATAGGAAGAGAGCCTTCCACTGTGTGTGCCAGGATGCCCCCACGTGGAGTGCCCCTGCCCACCCCCAACAGTGCCCTCCCTGAAGACCCAGAGCACTCAGGTCATCTTCTACATTCACTCTTATCACTTCTGCCCCTTGGGAAAGCGACTCGCAGACCTGACCTGCCGGCCCACCCATCAGTTGGGTTGAAACTAAAGATTCAGGCCTGACTTTGGAGACTTTGGGTAGTGTGAATAATCCAATGCCTGCTGCCCCCACAGCCCGGCTTCGTGACACCCCTCTTGTACCTCTGAGCGGAGGATGTGCAGGGGAGAAAGGAGGAGGGGAAACAAACAGGGAAGAAAGGAAAAGGGAAGGTGCCGTGGGAGGGGAAAGGCAGATCGGGAGGAAGGAGAAAGGCAAAGGCGTTCCCTCCTTGGTCACAACCCTGCAGAGACCTCACCCCTCCAGGGCACTCTCCTCCCCTCACCTCTCCAGCTCTGGGAGTCTCCCCGGGATGCTGAGCCAGCCAAGCCTCGGTCATCACCCAGTGAGGCCCCACTTACTGCTGGATGTGGACCTCACACATCCCCAGGAAGCAGAACGAGCCTCTCATCTCAGCCACTGGATGCTGGGCCAGTGGGACCAAGGAGGGAGCCGTATGGGCCCCACTCCAGGTACCGTGCATGGCAGCCCTCTCTGGTTTGGAGTCTGGTGAATATTTCTGCTTGGCAGAGGACCTGAGGTCTGAGTTGAAGTCAGTGGCTCTGGATTATTTGAGAAATTAGATAGAGATGGGGCTTCCCAGGTGGCACTAGTGGTAAAGAACTAGTGATACAGGAGACACAAGAGACAGATTCAATCCCCAGATGGGGAAAATCCCCTGGAGAAAGAAATGGCAACCCAATCCCATATCCTTGCCTGGGAAATCCCATGGACAGAGGAGCCTGGTGGTCTACGGTTCATAGGCTTGCAAAGAGTTGGAGATGACTGAAACACCTTAGCGCATGTGCACAAAGATAGAGATGACTTAGTATGGTCTTTGTGTTTGGTAGGGGAGGGTATGACATATTAATAGAAAGGATTGGAATGGGCTGAGCTGGACTTTTCATTCTACATATAAAATGCAATGGTGATAATGGTGATGATAGGGGTAAAAAAGAGAAAAAAATCAGAGCTGAGGGGAAAGGGCCTTTACATATAAGATGGATCCAATAGGTGGGCAAATCTGAACATTATATATATATATATATATATATATATATATATATATATATATATATATATATATATATCTCCTTTAATACTTAAAGGATAATAACTTGTGTAGTGGGCCAGCTAGTCTTGATCTCTAAAGGATTAGGCTGTGGAGATGAGACCAGACTACACTTGAGAAGTCACAGTTAGCCACCAGGGGGAACCGTTTTTGAGCAAGGGGTTGAATAAATATCATGAGTGACAGAGGGTAGGAGGAGAAATAAGTGGCCCGAGGCACTAGGGCAGGATGTGAGGAGGCTCTGAGTATGAACAAGGGGGCTCAGGGCTGCCCTGTACCCTGTCAGAGGTGCTGTGAGCTGGGTCTATATGGAGAACTAATTCAAGCGTGCCCTCTCTGGGTATCACCACGGCACCCTCGTTGATGGATTGAGTCCTCGACCCTCCTCCTTGCCGGGTACTTGGCAAGGTCTCAAGCTCTGGCTGCTCTCCCTAGCTTCCTGTTGCATTAGGTACCCTCAAGCCAGCACCTTCCAGGACTTGAACTAAGAGCCCTTTGGCTTCCTCATCTCTGAGCTCCAGGGCCCAGGGCAGGCCTGGTCCTACACAGATGTAGGTAAATGCTTTGGGGGCCGGGTGAGAGAATTCCTAGCTGGACAAGGGCATCAGAAAGAACCTGAGAGAGAGTATCCAGGACAATCTCCTAGTTTTGCAAGATGTCAGTGAGGAAGCCCAGCCGTGGGACGGCCCTTGCCCGAGGCTTCCTGACTCCACTACCCCAGGGTGTCTTGCACACAGCCGAGTGAACACCAGATGGCTGCAAAGGCCAACACACCCAGCCCTGGGCGCTTTGGCCACCCTGACACACTCACAGAGTACTCAGGCCACAGGCCTGCCTGTCTCCCTTTCCCATTCATCCTGTCCCGGGCCCAGCTTCCAGCCTATTCTCTGCTGACTTTTGGCTCCATTCCCTTTACCCTCCAGTCCAGCCTCGGTCCTCCACTGCATCATTGTTCTGTCTCTCTCTGTCTCTTATCAGCACAGATTTACCACGCCAGTTATTCCCACCTCTGCCTTGGTTGAGTCCGAGACTCAGCCCCCAGCTCCAGTTCCAAGCCTTTAGCCAGAGCCTCAAAGGACCAGCGCAGGAGCCAGACAAGCATTCGTGGAGCCAGTAGGGCCCAGGAACAAGCCCCAGACCGTGGGTGGGTAGCAACCGCGCGCAGCTCCGTGACAGGGAGCATGTAGCAATGGGTCGCTGTTCCATAGCAACCAAACAAAATTACACAGCAATCAGGGAGCTCATGTGACCGAGAGACACAATGACAAGCTATAGGACACGTCCAGGGGGCCGTGGAGTGTCGTTGCATAGCAATAGACCCAAGCCTTGCAGTGATATCTCACAGCCCGGCGTCAGAGGAAGACATAGCCATGGAACACAGCAGTGGGCAAAGACCACAGTGTGTACACTGCAGACGGAGCCCCAGAATGTGGAATGATACCTGACTGCACTAGAACACCTCTGGGTAGCAGTGGCCCTGTCCCAAGGCGTGTGACTCCTGGATGTGCCGTCAGGGAGCGGCCAGCAGCAGCCTCGGAGGCTGGGGGGCAGCAGTGGGCCCCCGTAACCTGGCAGTGAGCACACGACTGACTGTGTCCCTTGGCTCTCAGCTGCTGTATCCAGACCGTGAGCCTCTCAGCACCACCTGATTCCAGGAGTCGTTAATCTGTGTCTGATCTTGAGCACACTCCCCAGAGCCCAGAAACGATTCGGCCACTGATTTCCTCTAGAGCCTAAGAGGAAATTGAACATTTTCTGGAGAAAGGATCACCTTGGGAACAGAGAAGGGAGTGGAGGAGACTAGGGTCTGTGCCCCCTCTTCCGGGAGGATTTCACCGATGCTCCCCGCTGCCCTGGGCCTGCCTGTCCCAACTCCACACCCCGCTTCCCTTACTGGCCGCCCTTACCCTAGTATGCCTTTGGATCTGCCTTCAGGGCAGTCAATTCTTCCTCCCTTCATTCAAGACACCTGATTTTGACACAGGCTTTTCAAGTTCCATTCTGTCCAAGGGGTGCAAAGTTCCAGTCCTGAGTGGACTCACCCGGGTCAGGGCCTTGTGGGTGTGACCTTGGGCCCAGAGTTAGTCCTGGACAGAGCTAAGGAAAGCTTTCACTTCCCTTCTGAGCAGCCCAGGGAGCCTTCTTTGGAAGAGGTGGGCTTTTGAGTGAGGGTGAAGAATGAGATATTAAGAGTCATCCCAGGGGACTTCCCTGCTGGTCCAGTGGCTAAGACTCTGAGTTCCCAATACAGGGGGACTAGGTTCAATCCCTGGTCAGGGAACTAGATCTCACATGCTGCAACTAAGACCCAGCACAGCCCAATAAATAAATAACATTTTCTAAAAGCCATCCCAAACATGCTAACTCTTTATAAACAACTTGTAAGCATTCCCTGCTCTCTCCCTAGACACCATGAGCCCACCTCCTGCTGAGCCAGGCAGTAGATGAGGGGCCCCAGGCAGCCTCCAGACAGAGCAGTTCCATTCACTGGGGCCTGTAAAACCCTTGCCACTGCCCAGATTTCTGTTCCCCAGCAGCTCCATCAGCAATTCCTCCAACCAGCCAGGAAAAAAGAACTCGCCCCTGCACCAGATGCCCAGCCATGAGCCCAACTGTGCAGGGGTCTGGAAGGTGGTGGGGGGTGTGGGGTGGGAAGAGGCCCAGGCACCCAGCTCTGGGAGTTCCCAGCAGGTAGGAGGGGCAGAGTAGGTACACAGTAGCCAGTAAATATTTGCCCTTTTCTCTGTCTCTCT